CAACTACTCTGTGCCAAAAGCCACTTTAAGCTCTTGTAATACAATAGTGAAACATGCAGGACATTGCAAAAGGGCAGAAACATGTCTTCTTGCAGATTTCAACTCTTCTTAGCAATATAAATATTTGTTGGATATGGTGGAATACTGCTTACTACAAATAAAGGAATTCAATTAAATGACTACAGAATGATCATACTAAGCTATCCATACAAGCTACTTATTTTTCAACAGGTATTTTTTTCATGAGACATAATTTGCCCATCAGCTTATGAAGCAGTATATATAAAATACATAATAACAATATAAATATTTAGCATGTATTGAGTGCTTGTCATCTGCCAGGCACTAGGCTAGGAATCTCACCAGCATATATTTTTTTTTCTTTTTTCGGAGTTTTTAGCTATAGAGCGTGTGTGCTCGCCAGAGAGACAGAGAGACAGAAAGCGAGAAATGATCCCCCAGGGGGGGATGGCCATGCCGCAATTCCTTCTCCTCCAGTCTCCTCTTGGGATATTGGACACGCTCACACATGTATGCACGCACATGTGCCTGATGTGAGTTTAAGCCACCAGGTCTGGGATTCGAACCACGGTCGCCTACATGGGAGTCCAGCGATATAGCCATTATGCTAACTGCTAGTCCCCATATTTTATTTCTTTTAAAAATTCTTATTTAATTATATTTCTTATTATTTTTAAAATTTTCTATAGGGCTCATGCACTAGCCAGAGAAAGACAGAGAGAGAGGAAGAGACGGGTCATGTGAGAAAGCAAGCCACTCAGTCTGGGACTAAAACCACAGTTGGACATGTGGGAATCCAGCACCTTAACTACCTCACCACCTGCTGGCTCCTATAATTTCACTTAATTTTCACAACACCCTGGTATGGTTAGACCTGTTAGAATATTATCCGACGGGAAACTAAAGCTCATCTAACAGCTTGTAAATGACTAAGCCAAGCCTTGAAGCCAGGTGTCTTGAGTCCATAGTCCTTCAAGTAAACTGTTGTATAACATCAGACATAGTTATTGCTATGTTATAAATTCTTTTTTTTTTTTTTATTTTAGTGGCTTTTGTCTTAGGGGGAGTGCCCTCACCAGAGAGAGAGACAGACAGACACAGTGAGAGGGACGTGAGAAATTATTCTCCAAGGGGATGGCCCTCCACAACCCCTTCTCTTCCATTTTTCTCCTGGGATCTTGGTCATGCATGCACATGCACCCAACGTGAGTTTCAAGCCACCAGGTCTGAGACTCAAACTGTGGTTGACCATGTGGGAGTCCAGTGACATAACCGCTACACCATATGCTGAGTCTGTAAGTTCTTTTTTAAATTCATTTTTATTACTAGATAAATCCTACATTACAAAAACAAAGTCAGTGTGCTAGGTAAGTATTCAATCACACTACCACAATACCCTCCCATGATAAAGGAAAGATTATGTGGTCTACTTCTGGATTCAAAAGGATTATAGTTGTATACTTAAGAAAGAAAGGTGGCACTGCAGTTAGGGCTGTTCATTAGATTCATTTCTCTTGAACAAAAATTTATTTAATACCTTATGAATAAACTGCATTGCACATATAGGTAAAAAATAACTATTTTTTGGACTAACTTGAAATATTACTCAAGGCACAAAACAGCTTACGCCGTCTTTTAGCAGAGTTTCTAAATTCTTCCTAGTTGTTTATATATGCGGACGCTTTTACTTAGGGCAATGAATATTATTCAAAGTTTCACTACCATTAGTCCTAAATGCTTCCATTTTTGCCACTACCCTAACACAGCAGACGATGTTCACAAGTGCGGCCACCAGATGGCACTAGCCTTTTTCTTTTTTGAAGAGAGAATTTTAAATGCAGAATTCAGTGACTACAGCATCACTAAAGGTAAGGGGACAGAGCAAGATGGAAATTAAACAACTTTTCTAGGCAACAAAAAAAAGAGAAATATTTTTATTATTACTTTTTTTTCGTTTTTGGAATTGTTTTAAATGACCTGTTTTCAGACCTGTCAAAAGCATTTCATTTCACCTGAGATAAAATTTTCATGCACTAGCCAGAGAGAGACAGAAAGAGAGGAAGAGCGGGGTAAAGTAAGAAAGCAAGCCACGCAGTCTGGGACTAAAGCCACTGCTGGCCGTGTGGGAGACCAGCACCTTAACTACCACATTTCGCTCATTTGACTTGAGAGAAAATCCTTTATGATCTAGATCTTCACTATGCTGAGACCTCACTTCTTACCGCTTCCTTGCCATTTCTCACACTGCTTCTTCTAGTGTTCCTTGATCTTTGGGGCATTTGCTTCTCCTTTTCCGTTTGCATGGCACCTTCTTAGGTGATGTGTGCTTAGCTCTGCATGCAAGTCTCTGCTGAGAGGGGTCTCCTCAGACCACCTTGCAAAAAAAATAGCACCTTCCTTAGGCTCTGTCTCCTTGCCCTCATCATTCTCATAGCACTTGTCATTTCTAGGGGTTATATTATATACCCTTTATTGTCTGTCTCTTTCACTAGCTTGTGGAGAGTTACAAAACAAGGACTGTGTCTTATCACCTTTATTTTTTAACACCCAGTCTTATGTTAGGACTTAGTGAGTAAACAAATGAATGAATGAATGAGCATCTAGAGAGAAGGAGAGAACTACTAAATCGTAGAAATCATTTGTCAAGAATGCGGATTTTCAGATTATCAACATCATTCTGAGTTTTGCATTTCCTTTCATGCCTGTTTTACAAGACTTATAATACGCTCTCTTTACATTTGAAATTTTCTAAATTTGTGAAGCACGCTATATGTACTTTTCAGATTCAGATTCAGATATTCTTGGCTTATGTAAATAAAATTATTTGATTTTTACAAGTTTCTTCAGAGTTTTTCCAGTCCCTATCATCAAAATCTCAGAATGCAATATGATTTTGCTTTTAGCTAACTGAGCTAGGAATGGCTTTCAATGTTCCGGCCCAAGGATTCAAATTATTCTTTATATTCTAATGCATGAAGATTGAGAACCATGTATATAAATAACATTGTATGAGAGGTTATTTTCGTGATTGTTTTGAAGATCAGAAATATGGTCATAGGAGCTCTTTTAATGTCTATATAAAGCAGAATCAAAAAGGTCAACCAATGAGAAGAAAGAAGAATTTTTTTCTTCATTCCCCCATGTATCTTTGCCCTTTTGTACTGTAAATTGCATGGGCTGGCATTTAAATGCACAATGTCAAAGGGAAAGCACTTGCATTCAACCTGTGCAAGAGATAGCTGGCAAGGGGCAGAAAGAGAAAAATATTGCCCTACACCTACAATGGCCAAGCTGCCAATTGTACATACCACTTCCCTGGTTTCTCATAGCACGCATTTTCCTTGTGGACAAAGAAGTAGCCAAAGGAATACTTTTTTGTTCTCCAATAGAGCAATAGCTATATTTCACATCTGAGACCAATAACCCCTCTTGGCTGTCTTTTTTTAAGCAAAGACACCAGGGCTGATGATTTGAACCAGTTCAGACCTTAGATCATATTTGCAATAGCAGCTATTTTTGTCCAAGGCTAATTCCACGTTATGCTGATTTGGCTCTCACAAGTAAAATTAGTCATCCAGGACTAGGTAGGTGTAATGCACAAATAGGAGTGGGATTTAGACACTAATAAGGACATGTTATAATAATTTCAATCAGAGGCAGCTTGTCATAATGGGTAGGGTAAATGTGACAGTTATTTCCCTGGCTTAGAAATACAAGCCAGCTGGCAAGGAGGAGTGGCTGTTTGCACTATTGTCCTCCAACAACTAAGTAGGAAAGAGACTGAAAAAATCAGTTTGTGCTCACACTGTCAAATGTCTTCAGCTGTTGTTTCACGTGTGTGTGTGTGTGTGTGTGTGTGTGTGTGTGTTTGAGAGAGAGCGAGTCTGTGTGTATTAAACCAAGCAGCTGATAGACAAGTTATTTAATTAAGAAGCTGCTAAAATCAATCATAACTTTTTTAAAAAAAATTGTTTGAGCATCATCTACCCAATTTTCCAGTCTTTTTTTCCCTCTGTCTCAATATCAGCAATGAAATGACACATGACATACTTCCATCACAAACACTGGCACTTTCAAAGCAGTTACTGTCAAAGAGAACAAACACCTTTTCACTCATCTCCAACTCCCATGGAGTTGACTATGGGAGTCTCAGCATCTAGTAGTGTTTGGCAGTCTACTCTTGCAAGGTACTTCTCTCCCCACATCCAGCCTTCAACCTCAATGCAAAGCCTCTGACTATTCTGATCCCTTTGCTAGTAAGGGGGGGGGGGAATGGAAGCCTAGAACAATGAGAGACTTGCTCAAGGGTGTACAACCAGTGGCAGGATTAGACCCTCTGTTCAGGTTCCTTAGTATTAGCATAATGTGGTTTCTTTGTTCATGACTTCTTCTTTCATGGCCCCGGTGAGTGTTTTGCTTACCTGATAGCACAAAAATCACCTGATCACCCATAACTTTTTTAAAATGCAGCTCTTTGCAGGAATCTGTTTAGTAATTATACTCAGAGCGGGTAACCAGGCTGTAGAGGAACTACATGGTTAGAAACCTACGAGATATTTGTGTATGAAAGAGCATGTGGAAGAATTGGGGAAATGATACTGGAGAGGCAGGGATAAAATAACAAACATTGTTAGTCTATGCTGCAATTTTTGTAATTTCTCTAAAGGTGTTTAGAAGCTATTGATGGTTTTGAGTGGAAAGATCTGCATTTTAGAAAATTTTCTAGAAGCAGTGTCCAAGATAAATTAGGGGTGTAGTTAGTAAGCTGCAATGCAGGGCAACTGATTAGGAGATTTTACTGTGTTCCCTCCAAATTCATTTGTTGGGACTCAAACGTATCATGAGGTATTAAAAGGAGACTTAATCTCATGATGATACTGAAAAGTGGGAACTTTGGGAAGTAATTAGGCATCAGGGTGGAGTGGCCATTATTGAATGCCAGTGGGGTTTACATAAGAGAAAATGAAATACACACTCACTCAGACATGCTCCACTCTGCTCTGTGCATGTTCCTGCTTTCTGCCAGGTTGTAATCAAACAAGAAGACTCTCACCAGATGCAGACACTTTTTAGACTTCTCAGCCTCCACAATAAACCCCATTCTTTTCCATTTAAATAGATAAATACATACATAAATGCAGCACTTCAGTCCCGATACCAAGCCAACTGAAACGCAATCTGTGAAGAGCACTGTACATTTCTAAATCTCTACAGACACAAACTTTAAAGAGTCCCCTACACAAGGCACAGTCATCTATATTAAGCGTCTTTGAGAAAAAAAAAAGAGTGTGGTTAATAATCATACCAGTATAACAGTTACAAATTGGTGAATGTGTCACCTTGACCTTGGGTGATCCCGGAGCACCCCTTGCCTCCAAGTTGCTGATAATAACTAAAGCATTCACCCAGGTTTTGAAGTCTAAAAGAACAGAGATCAGGTCCTAATTCCTTCCTGTAAATGAGCAGGAATTTTTACTCTGGAAGGCAAATAAACATGTGATCTGATTGCTCTTCTGTGAAATGCAGGTTATAATTTTCATCAGTTTATCTTCAATGCCTGAGTGATTGAAACATTGTAAATAGAAATGAATGTTGACATGAATGGTCAAACCTCATTTAAAGGGAAACTCTGAAATTTTACAGAAATAATGTAAGCAAAACCCTTAGAAGATAATATGGAGACAGCCAACGTTAGTTCTTGTCTTCTTAAGGATCTTACAGTCAAAATCACAATGATCTCAAGTGTCTGAATTACTATCTCTGATAGTAAATGATTTTTTAGATAAAAATCATTTGCAAAACTGATTTTATAGTTGTAAGAAAACACATTTTCCGTAAAGTCCAGAACTGAGTCTCCTGTTGTGTAACCATGGCAAAGATGGCCGCTCAAGTACGAGCCTGCTTTCAAGTGTTCTTTCTGGTTCCTCTGTTTTACTGGAAGTGATGTGGCGACTTTTTAACAGCAAAACTGTCTATTATTCTCTCAAAACAATTAACACAAAAACTTCTGAATTCAGTGAAGGTCAGAGGATTAATAGGTTTTTATCTGCAATGTGTTTGAAAAGCTAATTAAGACTCCACAAATAACGGAGGAGACTGAGAATACAATATTTAGTTTTTCCCTATATGACCACAGTGAGCAAAAGTGAATAGAGGAAGACAAAGTGAATGCGGACACTTCTGAGACAGGAGGAAAATTCTTTTTAAAGGAAATAAAATCCATCTCCTGTGATGGAAGGTGCTTTCTTTATAGGTTCAAGGAACGTATTATATTCAGCATCAGCTTCATACTGGCATTATGTTAGGTGCTAGCAACTCAGTGTGGAACAAAACAGAATGGTTTTGCTTCCTTTCCATTTCATTAGCCTAGAGACAACCTAATTAACAAAGAAGCCACATTAAAAATTAATACAAAATGTTAATTGCGGTTAACAAATGAGAAAAGGGAAGTGTTCTTTGGGTTCTCCAAAATATTATTTAATAATATTGTCTTAACTGGAAAATTTAAATGCTGACATGAAAACAAATGTGTTTTAAAAGTCATTATGACAAGAAGATAATCCATTTCCTTCTGATCTTCATGTTTTACTAATCATATTTTTCTTCTAGTTAAGAAGAAACAGCAGAAATCTCAAAATTCTCTGAGAAATTTTATCTGCTAAAAACACATCTAAATAAATATTAATCCGTGTTTTCTTTCCCTTCCTCTGAACCTGGGTTAATTTTCTCTACATATGGCATGGCCACCACCACCCAATATACTGCATTAAGTCTAGCCCTCCTTACCTTTCACCAAACTGTTTTAGTAGCTTTAGAATCTGTAATATTTATTAAAATGGCTTTCCAGTTAATATTTCTCTTGTTCTTTTTCCCCTGGCAAAGATATTGGCAGATTAATGTTTTTTAAAGTATAGATATGCTCCCATCAAATCTTTGCCTCTTCAGTGTATCTTCAGCGGCTCCTTGTTACCTGCCAATGAAGTGTAATTACACAGATGTGGCCTCAGGGAGAAGTGCATCAGTTACATTTCCTATTAGGACCTGGTTCTCAAATTCATTTCTCACTTTTACAAGACTTTTCTCTAAGCTCTTTCTACCTAATCTCTTTTGTCATTCTGAGGGAAACTCAGCTACAAGAGTGAGCCTTGTAGAGACCTTCCTGAGTATGCAGGGCACACACATGCCCATAACCCAGGGCTGACTGAAGCTGGTGATGGACTATGGTGTTAAATCTGTACCATTGGTACTATCTTTCTCTCTGTCTCTCGGAATTAAGGAAGACATAAATGAAGTAAATTTTAAAATACAGTTTAAAAAAAAGGGAGGGAGGAAAAAAAGTAAAGAAAAGAAATTCCCAGGGAATTTTATTTATTTGTTTTGCTAGAAAGCATGCGCACTCACCAGAGAGAGACAGAGAGACGAATAGAGAGAAGGAAGCATCCTTCATGGAGAGTGATCACACCATTTTCCCTTCTCCTCCATCTGTTCCTCCTTTGGGCATGGGCACGTACATGCATAGGACCAGCATGTTCCTCAAGCTGGTGGGTCAGGGACTTGGACCACAAGGTTGGCCATGTGGGTTCCAGCTGTCTTAACCACCAGACCATGAAGCCAATCTTCTTAGGGAATTTTAAATTACATTGCTTACTTTTCCTTGGCATTCAGTATTTAAAAAGTTTGTAAGTCTGAAGATTACAGAACTAATCGCACTACAAGGTACAGAGGATTTACAACTAAGCAGGGGAGCTGATAAAAGACAGGAAAAGAGAAATCAATGGAGAAAGAGCCATAATAACATCCTTTATAGCTCTGAATCCAACATTCCTCCTGTTGGACTTCCAAGTAGGAATTCATCTAATGTATTTTTTTTTATTATCATTATTTTTAACTTTTATTTATTTATTCATTTATTTTAATTTGACCAGAGAGGGACAGTGTGTGTGTGTGTGTGTGTGTGTGTGTGTGTGTGTGTGTGAGAGAGAGAGAGAGAGAGAGAGAGAGAGAGAGAGAGGGAAAGCAAGAAAGCAAGCTGCCAGGTTCACGACTTAAACTACAGTTGGCTATATGAGATCCCAGCACTCTTATCCACCAAACCACCTGCTAGCCCCCATGTAATGTATTTTAAAAAACTAATGTGAACTGAATTTATCACAATGAATCAGACTCCATATTTTCCCCCAAAATAGTGGGGATTCCAAATATTTTACAAATAATTGCATGAAATTATTATTGCTCACAGCTTACAAAAAGGCAATTTAAAGAGTAATTACTCTTAATAAAGAATAATGTAGGGTAAAATAATTGAATAAAATTGTGCAAGTTTATTTAACAAGACTCGAGCTTAACAAAAGAAATATTTGATATCTTAAATACTTACTACCTAAGGTTAAGTTCTAGATTATAATATCTTTTGTTTATCTGCTATTTATCTTAATGACAATTATCAAGAATTATAAAACCTCCTGGATGTACAATAGGTACAGATTATAATAGATAGGTGTTTTCGAGGAGCTATTAGTAAGAAAAACAAAAAAGTGTAACAGGAATAATTCAGGTAACACAAAAGATAGTGGGTTCTTTCTAACTATAATTATCAGTAAAGCTAATAAATATAACAGCATTATAGGATGCTATGTTATGAACAATTTGTCTTAGGCTGTCTCAATGCATGTATTAATAGTTTGGAGAGATAAACAAATTGTTAACTTTATACTCATCTATAAAATCTCATCGTTTCACATTTAAAGTAAAAAACAAAAGCAAATTTAATCTCTGAATAAAATTAAAAGAGTCATTTAAATTTTGTTTTTATTTTATTTATAGAATGAAAGAAATGAGTTACTCCTGCTTTTAATTGTAAATGCTTTTTAATTAGATTAACATGATATTTTTTTGGCAAGGAAGTGCTAAATTGAGAAACACATTTTCTTTTCTAAATTTGATTACGTGTGTGTGTGTATGTGTGTGTGTGTTCACTTCCTGAAGCAGGCTACCGAATAATAAGCATCTTGAACCAACATCAGAGAAGAAATTTCCTCTTATGAGAAGTCATTCAGCAGAACCAGCAGGTGGCGTGGGGGTTAAGGGCACTGGACTCCCCACAGTGCAGACTGCAGTTCAAGTCATGGACTTGGAGGCTTGCTTTCTCACTTTCTCTTTCTCTCTCTGTCCCTCTCTGGTCAAATAAATAAATAAAGTTAAATAAAAATAATTCTTAAGAAAAAAAAAAGGAGTCATGCAGCAAAGTGAAGCCCATCGGATATAAATTCCTTGATATAATTTGTTACCTGTTTCCTATTATTCAATAGTTTTAAGTTGCTGTAACTATTCTAAAGCAGTATGTTGATTTATTTGGAAGTTTCAAGATCCAAACATAAATTAACTTAAAGGAATTAATTAAATCATGCAATATAAAGGCAAGTGGTTAGGGTAACGGCGGTTTCTAGGGAATTGCTGGAGATTAGGCTTGAGATAGCTTTAAATTGTACCTTAGTTTCTTGTGTGTGTATTTGTTTTCTTATGTGTCAGCTTTGCTTCAGGAATAGCAGTCACCACAAGAGTGTAAACAAGACCAATAGCACCCAATTTCAACACCTAAGCCAAGAGGCCATCTTCCTTTTGTCTTCTTTTAAAAGTCTACAGACAAGACTCTGGCCCAGCCAGGTCACGTACACACACCTGCTGGCAGAATGTAGTTGCAGCAATGGTGGTGACTAAGAACTCCAGTTGAGCTGCACTGTTGGCAGTTAAAGGAAGACCCATTCACCACACCAGCAGAATGAGAAGAAAAAGAGAAGTGCCAGGGTGAAAAATTAAAATAGTCTGCTGCCGATTTCTGGGGCTTCAGTTCTTCATCCATCATGTTCATATACTCCATATATATGGGTTTACATATAGAAACTTGATGCCTGATATCACCACTGCATTTAACAGAGTGAAAATTGTTTTACAGCCTGCGGTCTTTAACCTCTGCCTACCTAACTTCTCTTTTTCATTCGCAGTTGGTTATTCTGACCTATTTCTTTCATGCTGCCATTCATACATTCAAGCCTTCTTACCAAGACCGAATCCTTTCATAGAGACCATTTATAACAAAGTTGAAATTGTAACTTTTTTCTTATGCAATATATTTTTACAGACTCTCTATAAATAAGAAAAAAATAACT